CAGCGGGGAGGAGCGCGGAGCGGGAGAAGCGCTCCAGTCCCACGGGCGGCTGCGGGATAACGGGGAAGAGGCGGAACGCGCGCCTCTGCCGTGGCTTGTTTCGCCACATGCCTGTTTATTCGAGTAAAGGGTGTTACGGAGAATTCACTGAGAAAAAGGGTTCTCGTTTAGAAAAACACCTCTCAACTCGTTCGGCAGCCGAAAGGGCTGTGCGAAGGAATCCTGATGAATGAGCACAGCGTTGAGGGAGTTGTTGGTTTGTGGGCTTCAATCGCCTCAGCTATTCGTTTATGCCTTTTTTTTTTTTTCCAAGACAACTTTTGAGGCGAGGAAGCGACTTACAAAGCACAAGTTTAAGACAATGATGCTTTTGCTTGCAGCCGAGCTGAACTGAGCACTGAAATCCTGAGTTTCCCATCAGGTAGCAAATACCACGCATACGATCACTTTTAGAGAATGAAAGAACCTACTTTGCTCTGTAAATGGGGACTATGTTTCACTCAGAGCAAGGGGTGTGAGTATTTTCCATCTGCCAAATGTACATACCACAAAAATTTTCTTTTCATCTGGTACAGAGCCGTGTTTGTGCATCTCTGAATATGACTACAGTTGTGGAGAGGAGTTGGGTTAGCCTGGATGTAGCATTAACCCCTCTAGCCACAATAAGCAATACACAGAGAGAAATTTGTTTCCATTAGTCTTTTCCTGAGATCTTTACTGCGGTTGTGCAGTCAGTACAGCAATGAAGCCCTCCTGGCTATAGGTTCACATCTTGCTGAAGGATCCAGGGTTGGTGTTCACACCTGCCCTGTAGCCTGCCTGTCTCACAGCACAATGCCTCCTTATGAGTAGCCTGTAAAGGAAAGTGAAGCGGGGAAATTCTGCCTACGCACAACCAGGCTCAAGCCAGTGTTTTCCTTCTCTTAGTTTTAATGAGCAACAAATTTTTTGCCCAGAAAAAGAATCCAGCTCACAGCTCAGGATTTCAATAATTAATACACCATTTAAAAAACATGTTTTCAGAGTCAACATTATGATTACAAAGAGAAAACAAGCAAACAGGGAATAACTTGACCTGGTTTTGTCGCTTTCCTGTTCTAGCCTGACAATTTGTCAATCAGGTGGAATTTCCTTCAACAACTTCAGTACATTGCTTTAGCAGAAGAAATAATGTACAAATATAGTTATTACTTTCCCTCCCTTCTCACAATGATCTCTTTGTATTAAGCAACAGGCTTTTGCGTAGATCAGGTACCAACCCCAGAGTGTCACAGGCTAAAATTGCTCTTTCTCATTTCTGAAATTGTGCCCCTATGTTTGATCCCATTTAACCATTTCTGTTTTGGAGAAGTTGGTCAGAGAAGCCTTGATCCTATGCCATTCAAGTCAGGAAGAGCTCCGCTAGGACTTCAAGGACACCAGTATCTGCCTCAGCAACAGTCTCTCCCTTTTGCTTCCTAAACATGGACATTCTCTGGAAAACTCTATAAAATAATAAATTTCCTGAATTTTCAGTCTTCAGAGGAAGGTGTTATTGCAAACCCCAGGAAAGCTGCCAACCAATAACATCCAGATAGAATGAAGTAGACTGATTGATATCAACAGGTCCTTAAGTTTTCATCTCGGCCTCTGTCCCTCTTTGATTGTAAGTCCTCAGGGTCTGGGACCACCTTTCCTTCGTGGTTTGGAGAGAGCAGTCTCCTGCAAAGCAGATGCCAGGGCTGGAAGAAGCTCTGGTCCAGCAGGATAATCCCCTTTTCCCATCAGTGTGCATGGACTGATCGCACAGTGTTTTACCCCCTGGTACCCATGTCCCCATAGGACTAGGAGAAAATAGTCCAAGTCCAGCTCTTCTGTTGAGACCACTGCAGCTTGTGTAAGCTGTAATTTGAATTTTCAGCTGAGTTCAGTCCCTGACATGCACACAACATAAATTGCCTCTGTGCAAATACCTAGTAGACCCCTAGATTCAGAAGGTGAATGTTAATTGGTTGGCAGGAAGATTCACAGCCTCGTTAATGCATATCTGCTTTCAGTGTTAATGACTCATTAAAAAAAGCCACACTGGATTTTTCTTTTTTTTTAATTTTTTTTTTTTTTAGTGTTTTCTTTATTTTTGGCTATGTGTTGTCCTCAACCTCCATCTTCCCCATTCTTTCTGTGGTAGGACACAGTGTTCTCATACCCTCCATCTTGGGCTAAGGCAGCTTCCCATGCTTGGAAATTCAGTTGAGGTGAGAGAGTTTTAATTCGTGGACAAAACCAGCTGCATTTCTGGTGTTAGGTTGTGATATTGTGACACCTGTGGTTGTGCTGTTAATTGCCAAGAAGGAATATTAATAGCCACTTCATTGTCTTTGTTCTCTTAGGAGTTCGCTTGTTTTTTAAAAATCTTAACCACTTTTGCTTTGTTTGCCTTACCAAATTCTCTGCTAAATGCTCAATATTATATCAGGTTATAACACCAATAGCACTGTATTCTAATTTTCCCAAAGTTACAAGGAAATAACTAATCTGTCTTGTAAGTAAATACTGTTCTATCTGACTGCACCTAACCTCTTACCCTACTGTGTTGCCTAGAAATGAGCCCAGTGATAATCTATCCAGAGTATTCTTTCACAGTGCCAGAAAGACATCAAACATTTTGCAACCCATTTCCCATGACATTTCCATCTGAGAATCATGTACTCTATGTTGATGCTCTAAGATGTTTTTCCCCCCACTCCCCAGCTTGAATTCAGAACTATCCAAAAATACCTAGGGAATGGTAGAAAGAAGCACAGGAAGCCAATTTTAATCTGTCACTGATTCCCATGGGTGCTGCAAGGTGAGGGACAACTGTGGCGTGAAATATTAGGGATTAGAGGCTCATAATTCTCCAGAGCAGATCCCAGAAACACAACCATTTCTTTCTAAAAGCCTTTAGTAAGGGTTGCTCTGAGTTTAAGGGAACAGTATGGTTATTTGTAAGGTGCTGGCTTCATAAGGTTATAAGGGAAATTAAAGCCTATGCAGAATCACTCTGCTCAATACAGGCTTTTCTGATCCCAAAAGCGAGTTCTCAGATGAGAGTATTTGCACAGCAAGTACCAGAAGAGATACCTCTAAAACATTCAACAGCTTGTTGAGGCTTATCTCTAATTTTGATGAGGTGTTTTCCTAATGAGTTCCTCTCACATCAATTAGCTGCCGAATCTGATGTTAAAAAAATAAATCCAAACTTTCTCTTGGCACACGGTTCCATGAGGGCTCTGTGGAGATTTCCATGATATCGAGGTCTACCAGCATTCAGAGGAGCTGGCTTAGTCATTCTTCCCATCTGCTCTTCTTCCTCCCTCCGCTGCTCTACACATGCTTCCTGGCTGTCTGCTCCCCTTCCCTATCTCCCAGGCATCCTGTCTGGCTGCCCCCCCGCCTCTCCCGCCCTACCTATCCCTTGTGGCATCTTCCATGAGGAAGCTCAGGTAGTTTAGTGCTGAGATCAAAGAGCTGAAATAAACGAGCTGCTTTAAAGCAGCCAGGAGAAATGAAAAAGCAAAAGGAGGAGTCCACCAAGGAAACACCCATAGCAAGCAGCATAGCAAAAATAATTTGAAAAAACTTTGAGTTGAATCGTCCCCAAATCATGAGATTGCTTTAAAAATTGTGATAGTTAAACACAGGCACGTTTTAGTTCTTTTTACTTCTTCTTTGACCATTTATGAATCTAGTTTTTAGCTCCTTTTTGCCAAGAGGGCCAGTAAGAACTTGGGCAACTACAGCAAACTGGAAGTCGAGGTTTGTACTTAGCCATGGTGCTCCAGGATGCGGGGATGTCAAAGGAAAGTGGCTCTGCAGTGGCTGATTTTGCAACACCAGGAGTCGAGGAGGCTGAGTTAGAGTTGTCTGCCAGCAAGAGCCCCTTGCAAGCCTGTGTTTTGTAGTGTTGGGAGTCCACAGATGAGTGTCTGAGGAACTCCCGAGGGTGATATTTACCCCAGCAGTTTCTTTGGAGCAGGAGCAGTAGGAACTGCAGCTCGCCATGAAGTTAGTGATGAGAAGCAGCACAGTCTGGAAATAGCAGCCTCCTACCCCTTTTCGCTCTCCCAAACTACGTGCTGTGTCTCATGCTGAAATGCCTCAGCTCCTCCACTTTGAGAGTCGTTTCATCTCGCTGCTTCCTGAGAGAGATCGACATCTTCTGTGGAGCACACGCTGCCGAGGAGAGGAAGGCAGCTTTGGCCTGCGGAGAGCAGAACTCAAGTACTGCGTGGGTGGCCGAAGACAAGAGCTTCTGAAATGAGGGAACAGAACAGATCTCTAATCTCCAGACTCTGACACATATCGCACTTTTCTCAGTTGCTTAGGAAAGAGATTTGCATCCAAAAAGAAGTGGGAGGTTTAAATAGGAGTTCGTACATTTATCTTCTGTGGTCCATGCGGTGATTTACATTTTGCTAGTCCCATGGAATCCACAACACTTCATAAAGTGCATTCATCACAAACATGCAACCAGGGGAAACAAAGACCCTGTCCAAGTTCCTACCAGCAGTGTCCAAAAGCTCATCTGGGTTGCAGTCAGGGAAGCAAGGCTGTGGGGTGTCACTGATGTAAGTGCTTGTTTTGGGTTGTGCCGAGATGTTGAGGTTGTTGTCGCACCCTTAATACAGTACTGGGCATGATTCTGCCTGTGGATGGCCCAGGCCACCTGTGTGGTTCTCAGCCATAGCTCCATCTTCCTAGGACTAACAGAAGACTGAGATATAGAGGAATCCACAGAAGTGTCTGGCCTTGGAAAACGCCAACTGACATTCCTTGCAGGGACATGGACCTGTGTGAGCAGCCCCTTCATGGCTTCATCCACCACCACAGCTGTAGCTCTGTCGTAGATTGCCCACTCCTCCACCATGGCTGAGCTGACAGCCTGCTCTGCTGCAGCAGAATGGCCTGAATAAGGCACCCTTTCTTCTTCTGGGTGGAAAAATCTTCTTTGACCTGTTTGTTTATTGGGACTTGCTGAGCAGGGTTTTCTGTGACCCGTCAAAATTTTCCACTGCAAAATGCAAGCAACAGACCATTGCTTCTCCCACCTAACACCATTCTTACACACAGCCTGTCCCAATTCTCCTTGTAATCAATAGCAGGGGTTTCTCTTTGTAGCACACACAAAGGCTCGAGCCCTTGAATGGAGAAAAGTTTGCATTTATCCAGGGGCTGTGGTGGGGTGAGGCAGGAGGTGGGGCTGGATGCCCAAGGCTGAACTTTGTTTGCGGCGATGTCTGAACCAGCGGGAGCCGCGCGTGTGCTGCGATTGCGCCTGGAGCTCCGACCTTGCGGCGCTCCTGTGCATGAGGCTGAGCCTGCAGAGCCACGTGGGGGGTGTCTGTACAGCACAATTTAAGTACAGCTCTGGAAAAACACTTGGGATTGACCCATTGAAATAAGGAGGGGAAGGCTCCTGTTTCTGCCGTGCCAGAAGAATGATAGATTTGTAAGTGTAGTTCAAGGCCAGTTTCTGCCTCCTATCCATACTTTGTTAGAAGGTGCACCTTCAATGTGGTATTGTTAGGCTCAAATAGCATTTTTGTTATTTGTGTATTGTTAGGTATTGTATCATAGCATTTCCATGAGTGCTCAGTGGGAAATGATTACTTTGAGAAGCCTGGGAAGGGAAGAGGGTGTCCTGCAGTCCCTGCTAATCTAGCAGCAGCCCTGGCATCCTGAGGTCGGGTCTCACTTTGCCACCCTGTTGTCTCCAGCACTGGGGCAGCTCAGGGAGAAGGGGTGATGTTTTCAGAGTAGGAGGAATCTCTAAATAGATGTGCCCCAATTCTGGAGGTGCTGCTGCCTGTGGGGGGAAAGCCTGGGTCTCAGAGCCTCTGAAACATGCTCCTTTATTGAGTGGACTATTTGTGGACTGTTAGGATTGCAGCCTGTGGCCAATTCTTGTTTCTGTTTTGCCCAATAAAGCATGTTTGCTTTAAAAACATCTACTTTTCAATTCACAGTGGGTTTATCCCAAGGAGAGGCCTCTGCTGCTGTGCCTGGTGGAGTTCTCTGCTCCCATGGAGAGCATACTCAGGAGATACAGCCAGGCTGGGCTTCCCATACCCTCCAGCTAATCAGAGCTGCTGCCCAATATCCTGCTTCTGCTCTGGCATCCTCCCATGGGTGATGAGACCACCACACTGGGACAGGCTGTGTCCTCCAGTTGTAGAAGCTTCAAAAATACAGTTTGTTCCAGATGCTTTCCAAAGTGGGAAAGAAGCCCAGAGAGCACCTTTCAGTTCCTGGGCTTGTGACCCATGCCACCAGCACAGAGGGAAATTCATCCCCTTGGGTGAGCCCTTGGTCTGGGCAAAGGGGCCACCAATGAAGAATTCCTTGTTCTCACTATTGAAAACTTGGGAAATCTCAGCTTGATGAGAAAGCTTGGGAAGTCCTCCTTGCTTGATGCTATGGCTCCTAAAGAGGCAAGACATAACCAGCTCATTGGAGTAATCCCTAAATTAATTGCTCTTTGCTGGGAGGTATAGCCAGGCTGTGCGAGCCCAGACGAGGGGTGGCCAAGGCAGTACCACAGGTCCCTGAGACTTGAGACTAAACTTGGTTCCTGTTAATGACAGTACAGCTGTGTTGGTGCTCCTGCAGGCAGAGAAGAAGCTGGAGCAAAGGAGGGCAAGTTATTCTGGCAGAATAACAGAAGATGGTTGGGTTGGAGGAGGGTGCATTGAGCCAATGGGCTCCAGGCTGGAAAGCAGCAAAGGTGGCTAAAAGTAAGGGATAAGAAGAGATAGCCAGAGAAAGGCTTTACTTGGGTGATTTCCAGTTTCCAGTGTAGTAAAAGCTCTTTGCATGGTCTCAGTAGCTCTGCCTTGCTTTTAAAAGGTTAGGCAGTATCACAGAAGGATGGGGTTTAGTTTATGTTTCCTCTGTTGTCAGCCACAGAAGGTAATCATATCTATTAGGCAGGTAAAGTGAGTACTTTCATTTCAGAGAGCAAAGGCATTCAGGTAGTTCTGTACACCTGAAACATGAGTGTTCTACAACAGTCTTGACTGGGAAGAAGTTTTTCTGGTTTTAAATACGGCTGTGGTACTGGGAGAAGGAACATTTCCCATGCTGTGGTCCTGAAGTGAATTTTTTTTTATTACAGATTTCAAGTAGCAGAGCAGCAGGGGCTGACATCCCCTGTCCAACACTGCATGCACCATAAGACAGGGCTGCCCAAAACAGCAGAGAGAAGATTGGGCTTGGGTCACTTAAATCCAGAAGTCCTTTTCTGAGACTGGAAAGCGATGGGTGTGGGTTTAATTAATTCCATACTGCATTGGTCTTTGTATACCACTAACCAGTCATCTGAAGATAACTCTAAATAGGAAGTGGCCTGGCTTAGATTCCAATCAGTGACCATGTGGTACCTGGTTCCTTATCTCTTACACCCTTTTGTCTCTCATTAACAGCGTAATAATTACTCTGTGTAATAATTGTTCTTATTACATCCAGTCTTTTCTGAAGGAGACATTGAATGTAGACAAGTTCGAGCTGAATTTTCATAGGCTTAATAACAGCAGCTTTGTAATGGGTAGTGGGATAAAAATCTTCTTCCCAGTGCATTGGATAGCATGGTATCAGATTCGCCCTTGTTTTTGTGAGAGACAAGCCTTGAGTGTAGTCATGAATATTAAAGGGACAAAACATTAGCCTCCCTGAAGGTGGCTTGGTCATTGGTTAGGGAGGAGAATTAAAGACAAGAATTAAACCTTCTGAATTGAATCCTGGGGATGGAGAAGTGATTTCTTGCTTCCCTAATTTTCAATAAGCGTGGCCTGTGGAACAAGAGGAAAGTCCAGAATGCAATACACAATTTTTCCTCTGTCAATGTTTTTGAATAAAATCAGTGTGCAGTTAATCCAGTGTTGTAAATCTTGGTAGGAAGGCTTCCAGAGCAGGTAGATTTGTTTAATCATTTGGGCTGGCATCCAAACCGCTGGAGGATATAAAATATATGTATATATATATACTAGTGCCATTCACTTCACTGAAAACACCTTTTTCCCATCCAAGGAAATAGCTGTGGCTGGCATGAATATATCTTTGGAAAGCCGTAGAGCTAAACAAATTTCTCAGAAAATCATCTCTGGCCTAGATACTGACTATATTTACGCACTGTAACTCCTGAGGCTCATCAGCTAAGGCTTTCTGACAGAGAAGTCATCAGAAATCAGTGATTCACGCTTTGAAATGGTGGGATCCTCACCTCTGCTCAGCAGGCTCCCTGTCTTGATACCAGTCAATGTATTACCTTCAAATTGGAGTAGATCTTTCAAAAAATCACTTCCCCTGTGAATTCCAAAAGAACCATGCAGTAATGCAATGTTAATGGATCCTTCTTTGAGAATATATTGTCTCCTTTGCATCTTGATCAGTAGAACTGTGTCTCGCTAGACAAACTGATCTTGCCAAATAAGGGAATACATTTTTTTATTTTCCAACTATCAATACAATTTCTGTATGGGAGGATTTCAGAATGTCCCGGTTTCAGCAGTTTTTGTGTAACTCACATTAAGGAATAAGGTTTAGCATCACAAGAAGTCGGATTGTGAGGTGTTTCAGGTAGCTTTAGGTGGCTTGGTACATTAATTGCCTCAGTAATTCACAAGGTGCTTGAGGAGCTTCATCCTTAGCGAGCTGAAGTCCCATCTCACACAGAAAATGATACAGGCCTTCACAGTGGGAGTTTCTGCAGCAAGCTTTCGGGAGAACTCTTTCACACCAGTGCCTGCCAGCATTGTCCCTTTGGTCACAAGCTCTGACTCTGCTGCATTGTCTCTTCCAGGCACTTCTAGGATTTGACTGAGTTTGCACGACACTCCATCAGCAGCAGACGCCTGCAGCAAGGACAGTTCTTGCAAGTGACACCGTCGATGTGATTGAAGGTAACGTGTTCTCTTCTGCCATTGCCCTGTACTTGCTGCTTATCCTCCACAGATATCCTCCTCATGCTCTGGCTGGTGTCCCCTTTGCTTCCTGGCTGGGGAGGTGAGAGCAGGATCAGGCCTCAGTTCACTGCATGTCTGAGAATCCCCCAGACTGATGTTTGCTTCAGGTAACAGCTCTTCCTAACCATGGCTCAGCTTGTCCCATAAAACATGTTTGTGCCCCTGGCCTTGAGGAAATACCTCCTTGCATCGCGTGACCTACCTATTTTCCATAAGCACTGCACATTTTTGAGTCCTGAAGCTGGTCTGCATTCAGACACTGCTTTTCCCCCCATGAATTTCACAGGTCAGTTTTGCCCTCTGTTCAAAACCTAAAATAAAAATGTGTGCATTGTTTCTGAGGCCTTTCCCATGGGAGGTGGTTTAGCACTTGTCAGGCTGTGTGTTGCTCTGTATGTTACTGACCTTGTTCGTGCCATCACAAGCGGCAGTACGTGATCTGTGCTTTTGCTCCATGCCTCTGGAAAAACATAAGCATGGTGTGGTCCTGGGACTGTAGCACTTTAGCACTGCATTTAAGATAATCTCTCAATGTAGTTTTCTCACAGAAATGCAAGATTTTGCTTCCCCACACCCCAAATTGGTATATTTGTGCTCAATTAAATCTAGGGGAAGTAATGTATCTCTTAATCCACTGACACGAGAATGTTAAGGTTCAGAGAAGATGATTCATCCACAAGAACAGAATTTATCCTTTGTTTGTAAATGTTATTTATTGCCTTGTTTTGCATCACTATGGCTACTGTATGTCATTGGTGATACCAGCACCTACCGTACATAACATGAAGACTGAGTGAAAGAGTCCTTATAATTATTTCTATCACCCACTTTTCGGTTGTATGTCTGTCAGTACATCTCACGTAAAAGCAGCACTAAAAGTGGCTTAATATTTTCCATCAACACTGTCTGAAAAGTAAAAAATTTTCCTGTGCATAAATCTTATCACAGTTTAAAAAGCCCTAAGCAGCACCATCACGCCCCTTGTTCAGATTATATGTCTTTATGAGCAACTCAGTGATGTCCTCCAGGTGATTTTGAAGTTTCAATGAGCTAATTTGCAGTGGCATTTTTAATTATTTTACATCTAGTTATTTTTCATGTTAAAGACCTAGTTAAGCTTGTTAGAAACATCACTGGTTTCACAGCCCATATAGATTCTTCTGCTTTCCTTCACTGTTTCGAAGTGGAGACTGGGAATAATTAATCTATTCCAGTTTAAGCCTAATTATTTTGCCAATTGCACGGCCCCATGTTCTATTCTGAAACACATCAAGTACAATCACTTCTGCCATCCTATTCAAGCAAAGCCTTAAGCTGCACAGATTTTCTGAAATGGCCTGGGCTTCAACAGCTTGGGAGCTGATTCACTGAGGCATCTGCTGTAACACTGGCAGAACTGCCACCATTTTTCTAGCCCAAATCATTTGTCTTTGTCATTTACAAATAATCTGCAGGGTATAATGTGGTCTTAGGGAAGCACGGAGCCCATTATTGCACAATAATAGAATTTCGTGAGGTCTTAGCATCTTTGAGCTCATATGACACATTTGACAGTCCATGTGTGGATCTACATCTCTAATTTCCCATGGAACAAGGACAGAGAAATATTTAAACATTTGCAATGTATTGAATGCTGCTAAAATAAACCAGCCAGCTATGAGTGACTGCAGGAGTCTGCTGCTGGCGAGCAGGGATCAAGCCCCAGGACACACAGCAGTGGGGCATGGCTTATCTGTGGTTGCCAAGACCAAGACTTCATAAACACTGACCCCACACAAAGCCTCCAAGATTATTTCCATCTAGACATCTACTTTCTCACTTCGTTTTCCCTGCAATGCAGGACAGCTGGGCTTAGGGTGCCGAACCCCAAAAAAGATGCCAAGAGAAGGATGTTCATCTTGGATGCGCTTAGAGTGGTGGGCCCAGTGCTCCCCCAGGCTCACAGCTGGGTCTGGCTAACACAGGGTGTGAAAGCCCTGCAAAACAGCTCTTCCCAAAGAGTTGGGCTGGGAGAGCATGGTCCTGCTATTGCCTACTGTGGTCATTCCCAGAGGGGCAGCAGGAGGGATGAAAAGGTTCTCTCTGGGAACAAGGAAGAGACTGGAGCCAGAGTGGGGAAAAGGCAAGAATGGGATGGTGAGAGGGAGGAGATATCAGAGGGAGTGCTACTTTCCTTTTGGTCCAAGGGCATGTCTCTGTTGTTCTAAGTGCTGTCTCAGGTGGCAGGGATAGCTGGCAGAGCAGGGCCCACAGTCACCACTGCTCAGTGCTGTTGTCCACAGGTGCCTAGTGGTATGGCCTGCTGGGTGCTGCAGGAATAAAAGCATCTGTCCCGAAAACCTATGTATTTTACTGATTAGGTGGTTTGTGCTGTCCCTGGGAAGTAGTACAGGTCCAGGCAAGGGCTGGGAGCTCAAAGCACTCTTCCTAGCGGGCAGAATCTATCCCTCTTCTACTGTGCCATGGCTCTGGGAGGAGTCAGGCTGTGTAAGCTGCAGGGTGCTCAGACTGGGGGTTTGTTTCAGCCTTTTGCTGCGTTTCAGAGCCTGGTTCTGCTTTCCTGTTCTGTGCAGGTATCAGGAAGTGTCTGAATTAATTCAGTGTTTGTTGGGTCCCAGGCTGACCCTTCAGGGCTTTTCCCTATGCTGATGAATGCTTATGAGCTTGGGTCCTGGTCCACAGCTGAGCTCAAGTGTCCCATGGTTCTGCCATACTTTTTCTTAAACATGATGCAGAGGGAGTGAAAGTCTCTGCACTATCATGCTGCTCTGTGCTACAGCTAATTAAAGTCATTGTGAAGGGTTTTGTAGTAATTGCAGATACTGTAAAATTTAGTTCTGTCTGGTAATTGGTAATGTAAGCTTGAAACAAGTTATCCTTAAGATGTTTTAGTTGGTATTTCTCAGTAGGTGCAGGCTTTACAAAGAAGGCTTTTGTGTGTGCAGCAGGACCAGAATTAATGGCAGCATTTAGTCGTGCCTAAAGGAGTGTTTGCTGTGGCAGGTGGCAGGGCAGCCTAATGGATGATGCCTGCATTCTGTGTGCTGCAGGAGGCTCCAGCAGCCACTAACTGCGCTACCTGATGAATGCCAGCTAAAGAGAGTGAAAGCCCCATGCCAAATCTCTCCAGGGCTGATGTATTAACATTTGAAATGAGCATGGCCCTTTCAGCTCAGAGTGCCTCTGTTTGCTCCTACACGCTTAGCATGCATTCTGGAGATTTCAGGCATCCTCAGATTTTTCAGTGGAATGCTGTATTTATAAATGGCAAATGTGAGGAAAATCCCAACGCCACAGAGGGCTGGGCTGAGCTCTGCAGTGAGGCTGCAGCTGGCTCTGTCTGCCCTGGGCTGCTGCAGTGCCCAGCAGAACCAGGCGAGCTCCAGGGCAAGCACTGCGGTGCCTGGGGTGCCAAAGGGCACAGGGTGGTGCTTAATGGGCACATAAGCACCTTAGGTTCCTAAGTCCCTGAGTTAAATGAGATGTAGGTGCCAAACAGTCCCTGATGCATTTGGAAGTCCCACTCAACACCTCTCCAAACACTCAGGCAAGTAAAGACTATTGAAAATCTGGTCCTTAGACAGCAATACAGCTGGTATGTCTGGAATTAACAGCTTAAAAAGAAGTGCTGGCTCATGACTAAATGGAAGAGACATCTGGAAGAGCAAATATTGAAGACATTACGAAGAATCAGAATAAAAAATGAATTCAAGGCTGATATTTCCACCAGTAACTTTTTTTGGTCAACAGATGCAATTTCTGAGCTCATATATCAGTAATAAACTGATTGCTGATAACATTGGAGGACTCCAGTTTCCATCTGATGACTCTGGGACTCTGTGGGGGTCCTCTCTGCTGTTCCAGGGGCAACTGGGGTCGATGCCCTGCTCAGCATCACAGCATGCAGCAGTAACAGTTGGCTTGGAGGCCAAGGAAATATTTTTTGACTGTTCAGGAAGGACAGTGTAACAAAATTATTTTAACCAATATGAAAAGCCAATACCTTTTGTTAAATTAGCTGTGGGGCCAAAGCTCAGAGCTGAAGTGTCCCATTCTCTTCTACCATTCACAGCATGACAGAGGTGATGAACACCCGAGAGCCGGTGATGGAGGAATTCGCGCTCAGCCAGACTCCTGAGGAGGAAGGAGGCCCTTCAAGCCAGGTAACTTCAGCAGAACTAAAAAGTGTCCAAAAGTTGTTTGTCAAAAGTGATTCAATGCAACCAATAACTGTCCTTAGGGTAGGTGTTGAACTGCAGAGCACAGCTGCCAGAAGATCCAGCCCTGAAATATGTGTTTGATCCTACTTAGGTTCTATTATTAAAAGTTAAGAGTTTGGCTGAAGTGTTTTGTGGGGTGCCAGGTCTGCAGGGCACAGTGACAGCAATGCCCAGATCCTGCAGGGACGCAGGCACAGAGGCTGTTTGTCACCAGGAGTTCTGATCTGAGCAGCTACTGTGTGATGAAGGCATCCAGCCAGTACTGTGCCAAGCTTTTATACAGCCACCCTTGAAATGAGCTGAGTTTCCTTGGGCTCAGAGGGAGCTCCCTTTTTAGAACAGAGACCATTTGAAATGATTGGCTAATTCACAGAAATGGCATCATAGTAGCACCACTGGTCAGAGCCATTTGCTGGCAGGTGCAAGAGCATTTTCTGTCCCCAGGCAGCTCCGCACACCCCCTCAAACACCCACCCATGGAGCTCATTGCAGCAGGAGGGATCACGATGTCCCAAGTCCCCCTCGTGGCAGCCCCCACATTGCAGTTTGTGCTCTGTGGTTGTGCTGGTGGCTCTGTGTCACTGCCAGGGACAAACCACATAATGTGTCCTGGTGGACCTGAGCTGCCTCTCATCACAGTGTGTGACACTGGAAGCAGACTCACAGAGCTGCTCTAGGAGCAGCCTGGTGCAGGTGAAAATCTAGCATCTGGAAACCAGGGAAGCAGAACAGAAATTTTGCAAATTCCTTTTGGATCATTTGTTTGTGTAATGAAAGGCTTTGTGCATGTAACGAGCGTACTGTGGGCTTTCCCATGCCTCAGAGGCTGCACAGGATGGACGCTGCTCACTCAGTATGTTTTCAATATTATTTTTCCTCTTCTTCATCAAGTTCCAGGTTTTCAGTGTTGTATTAGTATATGCAGCCCAAACTCTGTCCCAGCCCTAACTTCAACTGGGAAGTGAAGCATTCAGTGTGAATTTTCAAGTGAAACACTGTTTAGGGCTGTTCTGTGGTGTCTCTGATCATGTGCCCCAGAGTTTTTCCCCATTTCCCCCCAGCTCTTTTATCTTTCCTCTCAGGGAGAAGGTGATGCCTTCCACATTTTAGTGATAGACACCTGAGGAAAAAAAAAAAAATCAAACAGAAATGAGATCTAGCACAAACTCAGTGACTCAGTGGGAAAACCAGGTTCCTTCCAGCAACTTCCAAGCACTCTGTCCAGGAGACCGGTCCTTCTCTCCCTGCAGTCTCCTGCCCACTCATCACACGCTCCAGCTTCTGCAGAAAAACACAGCAAGGCCCAACAGGCAGCTCTGCTTCCTGCCAGTCCTGACTCATTCCTGGAGGGACATGGTAAATACTGGGCTCTGGTGGAAAAAAAAATTATGTGATTGATGTGAGAAAAGACCATATGAGAATGACACAAACAAAAATAGCCACAGCTGAGGCCACACAGGTGCCTTCCTAAATTTTCTTGCAGCTGTAATAATCGTCTCTCATCCCATTTTTAGATCTCTCTGTGTCATTTCCTTGGGCTTCAGAGAGCAGATGAAAAGGAGAATTTTTGTTGTATTGCATCGCCCATCCAGGAGCTGCCAGCAGGCTTGGGGATGGGGTGGCTGTCATGCAGCCCTCTGCACCCCAGCAGGCTGCACAAAGACAGGGAAGGGGTCACTGTCATCTGCCTGTGCAGCCATGGGAGAAAATACAGCAATTTGCCCACAGTTTTACGGCTGTTTTCTGCTGCTTGGCGGGTCTGTGGACCTTTCCTGCCCAAGGACACTTTGTCTGATTTGGTTTCCAAGAAGCAGGATTGTATTAGCCACTTCTTAAAAATTCCTCCCAGTCAAGACAGCTGCCATGGAAAAGTCTTTCCAAATTATGAACGGCCCAGGAGAAGGCTGTGTAGTGGGAAGTTGGGCAGCTCTTTTCTGATAGGCAGCATTGTTTGGTAAGGATGAGTTATAAACTGTGGGTGCAGCTCAGGGTGGCATCAGAAAGGTTTGTCTTCAATGATTCACTTGGTCTAATTGTACTGAAGATGCTTTCTCACAAAAGATTTTTTTTTTTTTTCCAAATTGTGTCTCATAACATTAATATGCAACATTTCTTACTTCTGTGTAGATTTGCAAGAAGTATTAAATCCCTGCGACACTACCATGGGGAGCAAGGGTATGAGGATGAGGGTTGTTGTCCTTCCCCATCTTCAGAAGTCAGATATGGGCAGCACAGCAATGTTAAAAATGTGCTTGCTGCTTCCTAGATGCAGAGCCTTTCCCAAGGTCTTGCCTCCCCATGCCAGCTGTGGTGCCAAGTGGTTCAACTAAACCCTCAGCTCTGATGGAGAACAGCTGCTGAGATAGAGGAAGGTTGCAAAAGCCATGGAGCAAACCCTTCCAGTGGGTTATGACACCCCCAGACCCCTGTCAATGTCTTGTATTTGTGCCCAAGCTCACAGCAGGAGCTGTGCTGAGACTGGCTCACGTAACCAGCAGGACTTGATCAAACAGAGACCCTGGTTCAGTGGTGAACGTGGTGCAGATGTGTGAGGATGTTCCCAGCAGCCCACAGCAAACCTGCTGCAGCCTCTGAAGTTAAACTGGGATCATTCTTGCTCTTGAGTCCTGGTTCAGTCCCTTCACATACACCTTGATTTTATTGTTAGAAATGAAATGCAATGAAATAAAATTAAAATAAAACTCAGCTAGCACAGAGAGATTTGTAGCTTGTTAGTGCAGGTATATGGAAGTTGGAGGATCCGTGAGAAAAGGTTTCACTGAAGCAACAACAGTTCCTTATGGTAATGTCCTGGAGGAGCTGGAATGATTTTTCCTCCAAAAAAAACCCAACCAAAAACCCCACCAGAAAAAAAAACTATTCAAAACAACATACCCTTAGAGATTTAAGTGATCCAGCTATGTTGAAAACAGGAAAGCACTTTTACGTGTTACAATATCCTTCACTAAAAAGCCCTAGTTCAGCTAAAAGCTGTAATCACTGTGTAGTGTTTGATCTGCAGCTTCAATGTGACAAATGAAAATAAATAGCTTGCACTGTCCTCTGTGTAAAGATGTTCTCTGGGGCTACCTGTTTTGCATGAACACATCATAAAACAGTGTTTCACGTTGCAGAAAATAGCTCTGCATGATGGTGGCTTCTTAATAAGCTATCACTGCAAGAAAACGTGAATATTGTATCAGAGCAGAAAGACAGCAGCCAGAAGGGCTGCAGCAGCCATTTATCTTATCCGTACAGCAATGCCTTCTGTGTCCCAGAACCCCACCAGACCTGAAACATGAGTGTTTGGCAGCATAACAAATTTTGTCTCCAAAGTCTCCATTTTCACCGCTCATGTGGGATCACACAAGTTAAGGCAATCATCTCCTCAACACACCGGCAAGCAAAGTGGGTTCTTTGCTCAGGAAGGGACAGTGTGCTGAGACCTACAGCCCCTCTGCACCATGCCTGGCCAGCAAGGAGCTGGGTTCAGCGGGTTTTGAAGTCATCCCTGTGCAGGGCTGTTGATCTGCACCAGTTGGAAGAGGATTTTTTAATGGACATGTGAGAGCATGTCATATGTAGACAATCGGTTTGCTCTGAGCATACATCTCTGCACAAAGCTTTGATGTACGTTTCCCAAATGTCTCCCCAGGCCTTCCCAGACTCACGTGAGAAGTACCCCAAGCTGTCCAAAAGACTGCCTTCGATCGTGGTGGAGCCCACCGAGTCCGGAGAGGTGGAGAGCGGGGAGCTGCGCTGGCCTCCTGAGGACCTCAAGTCAGCGGAGGACAAGGGTCTTCATGGTGACCAAAGAGTCTGTGCCCAGCAACAGCAGCAGCAGATGGATCTGGAAGGTCTGAATGAGTAATTTTCATCCTTGTTCCCCATGGGAAAATAGCTGTTTCAGACAGTGCTGTGCACTGAAGTTAACAATGAGACAAACAGCTGTAGCTACTTGAAGGTGCCCAGAAAACATCTGCACTGGAGGAGCCCTGTGGACTGAAAATGTTGTAGCTTTTGAGCAATGGTGTTTTCATCTGCATCAGCCACTCACATGGCCAACAGGCAGCCAGTGCAGTGCACATTAGCAGGTCACTCTGGGGAGCAGTAATCCTGGTCAGTAGCATGTATCTGTCCCTGTCTCCTAGCTCAGAAGTGAAGTCTTTGACAGCTGCATGTTTTCAAAGCATCCTGGTGTCTCAGGGGTGTGTCAGTGTAGCAGGAACTCACAAATACGTACCTCTGACTAGCAGTGTCACTGTGAGGTAAATACAGGTAAAGGTAAGATCTTGTCTAAGTGTAGCTTGCACAGGAAGTGCTCCAGTGGGAAACTGCTCTATTTGTTTCCTTTTTTTCCATCTCAGTGCTGTCCTCTTCTCTTATAGAGTGACCTGGTTTCCATTTCAGTGCACCAGCATTTGCCACCCAAACGCCCAGACACAGCAGCCAGGACAGGGTGCAAGATGCACCTTCCCTTCCCTTCCCTTCCCTTCCCTTCCCAGGGGTGATGACAAAATGTGTTGAAGTGTAAAATTACCTGCTATTCCAGTTGGCATTTCTGGGTGGTGACAACCACAGGGCTTGATCATTCAGGAGGAAATATGAGTCAAATGTATTTCCTGACTTCCAGGTTGTATATTGTGATTTCTCTTGGTTTTCTGCCTTGATTTAGACTCATTATGTCTTCAGGCCTGACAGCAGATTTCTGAGACCAGGTAGCCTTCCCATGACAGTGGCTGTCCATAGGGATCACCTCATCTCACTAATATCTTACCTGAGGTCTCAGGTTCCCTGTAAAGTCAGACTGTGATGCACTCAGAATTCCATACTCCAGGTTTAACTACTGGTTTGCAAGCAGAAAAGATTTCTTGTATCAGTTCTGATCACTCTAACAGATTAACTGCCAGGTAGAGCAGGTAATCAAACAAAAGCTGCACCTATATGGGGAAATAAATGCTGATGAGCTGTTTCTTTGCAGATACTTTAGCACACCCAGCTCAAGAAGTGGAAGAAAGTACAGATATTCTGGAAAGCAGAACTGAAGAGAATGAGTAGGAACTCCATGGCCTCAGAAGTGAAACTTCATTGTGAATGTTGTTGGAAAGCTAATACACTCTGAAGACATGTTGAAGTAATCTGTATTTAAATCTGCAAGGGTTTTATTTAGTTAGTACCTGGTAAGAAGCATCTGGGCTTTAGAACTGTTCTTCTAACATTTTGATTTTCAGGCTGGGATTCATATTATTTGTTTAATTTCCCCTTGGGAAACAATGGGATGTGTTAGGAAATACAAGGCTGTCAAGGAAAAGATGCTCCTAATTTTAATTAGTGCATTTTGTTGGTTTTATATTTTTGAAGAAAGGCTGCTTTCAGGTATCAACAGCAGGACAAAGGCGTTGCGTTTCCACAGGAGGGATGTCTTAAATCTAAAAACTTTCTTTTTTTAGCCATTTAAAACTAGCACTGTGATATTATGGACAATAGTTGTAATATAATGTCACCAGTTGATTTTGTAACTTTTGTATAGAGACGCAAGGGCAAGGTTTGCCTCCAGGCTGCCGCCCTGGGGCAGCCCAGAGCAGTTCTCTCCCTTTGGCTAACCTGTGCATATTTGGACAAACCAGCCTTTCCTTAGCTGCCTTTTCAGTAAGGCTGATGCCTTTTGGAAGCGCTTTCTCGCTGTACCTTAATGAAGCGATGAGCTGGTTGCTGTTGTTTGTGGCGTGAGGCTGTCTGTGTTGGGCTTGGTGGGGTGGATCGTGCTGTCCGTGCACTCTTCAGGCCGGGACCGGCCATAGCGTGGCGTGCACTTCTCACCCTTAAAGCTGGTGAGATGGCTCCTGCTTCTCCCAGGGCTGGCTTTGTCCCACCTTGTTAATAGAGATTGTTGTGACATTACTTCTTTGGTATGTTTGGTGTATAACGTAGGTGCAGGGGCACAGCTGCTCCTCCCTTGCCCGGAGCTGGGCGCTGGTAGGGGGTAGGTGGCAGGAGCTCCATAGCACATCCCAAACCTGTCCTCTGTTTTGCCTGGCTCCAGGTTTGCCCTGAGCCACCTGCAGCAGGAAGGGTGCAGGAGAGCCGTGGTGGAAGGACAAACACTTGCCTCCCTCCCGCCCAAGTTGGCACTGCTGGCAGGAACACGTGTGCCAAGGGGTGCCCTCCTGACCTGCGGCACAGCCCCCTCAGCTTCGCTTGTACCATCACCCCCTGGAGCCCAGAGCCCATGGTGGGGCGAGCTGTCTCTGGACACTTTTGCCCTCTGGCGGATTTTCCTTGGGAGTTTGGGGGTCATTTTGACAGGAGTCAATCCCTTCCTGCACAGGGACCTCGCAGAGACTCCCTCTTGCTGTCCCAGGAGAAGCACCAGTCTCAGCCCAGAACACGATGGGGGTGGGTACTGCCCGTACTCAGAGGGGTTTGACTGTCAGTGATGAGTGTCCTGGAAGCTGCAAAGCTGGCTATCTCCATCTCTGCAGGGCTGGATGGGGTCTGTACTTCCAATTAATGTTGCATCCAGAAGAAGCTGCTCACTGTAGGTGGAGCGAAATAATAGGATTTCTTCCAGCATTAACTCTTAAGTTGACTTCCAAGTGCTTTCTTTTTTCCAGTAATAATATTCACTAACAACAACTTTTAATTGCATGATGGTTGATAAAATTTACTGGCCAGATGTATTAATAAGTTTTTACCTTCTTAGCAACCAAATTTAATATATTTACTTACAAAGAATTCTGTGCAATGAATGTTTATTACAAAGGAAAGAGACTATTTTACTTCAAAGCAACATTAATTTATGTACAAAACTTTAGCTCATTATTAGGGATGTTTGGGATCTAGGACCCTTTTTTTAAGCAGTATAATGTAGTAGAGTATAATGTGATACTTAAGTTAAACTTTGCTCTCAATCTATATAACAGTGTTTTGCCTTCTTGATGTAGACTTTCTTGCCTACACTGTTAGAATTATTTTGTTGGGTGAGTGGGATTCTGGTCAGAGCACCAAATTTCACCAGAGTAACTGAAGGTTTCAAGAGCACTTCCTAAATCTGGCTGCTGTCCCTGTCACCCCCTTCACTGGTGACAGTTTTCTGGTAAAGCCAATGAAGCCAACAAAGCTGGAGCTACGTGTTGGCACAGGAGCAGTGAGGGGAGGGAGGTCCCGGCTCAGACCCACTGTGGCAGGAGGAGAGCTGTGCTGGTGAGGCGGCCAGGCTGATGGGAGGTGCTCTTTAAATGCTGCTTTTGCATCGACTGTCAAGAAGTTTTACAAAGCTCTGGGGAGAAAACAACAGCAGTGACGACATATTTTTAGCTGTGTGATTTCCTGCCAATCTGTGTCTGCCCAGCTCTGTGAGGAATGACGTTAGATGTATCACTTAATTTGCTTTTTGCTTTATAAAAGGAAAAACAGTTGTTTGAAACACTTCCCCCAATTTTCTGTGCTCTCTATCTGCTTTCAGACGCTCCCTCCCTTCCTGCTCTGGATGGCCCTTATCCTATTTCCACCTGAGGTCAATGGCACTTCCCTAAATATGTTTCCCAAAGAAACAACTAAATTCTACATACACCCTGAAAAAACGCCACGCCAGCACCGCTACTTTTTTTCATCCTTGTACTTAAAGCTGCAGCTGGTATAGAAATCCCAGATTTCCTTCTTCCAGCCTAATTACTCCTCTCTTTCCTTTCCCCTCTTTTGTGCTGCTACCCTGAAGTATTTTACCTGAAGCAAATGGCTGCTTCCAACTAAAGCTTTCTCCTAAAGCTTTGTGGCCTCAGTTTAAGAACCGTGCAAAGCCAAACTCCTCCTCCCATTTTTATTTTTCTGACCATGGGCCAGAGGCCCTAAAACAGGAAAGCAAGATAGAGAGAAAATTGTTTTATACAAACAAACCCTATTTATTCAACTTGCAGGTCTATGAATGTCCACTTACTTTGTCTGTGTGCAAGTGTTGTCTCTCTAATAAACTCAATAGTTGTTTTGTATTTTTTTCTGGATTAAAAGCTTTGTAGAAACTAAAAAGAAAAAAAAAAGACATTCAGTCATATTTTTCTAGTCTAGCTTGTAGAATATTTCACGTAGTGCAGAAATAAAGTTTTATGGAGTAAGACATTGTTGAATTTTGCTCTATTTCAGTTCTTTCTAATTTTGTAAAATGCCACCTGTACATAATACTCGACTAATGTATGTCCTGTAGATGTATTACACCATTTAGCCTATTAAATGCCTATACTGAACTGATTGGAAGAAGCAGTGCATCCACAGTGTCTTTGTTTAAACGTGGAAAGGGTTATAGATGGTGGTGTGTGTCCTACCACTAATAGAGGGAATGAAGCCCACTCTAGGGCTGCCTCTTCTCCATGGCATGCAAATCCTCACCCAGGCCCTCCAAGCCCCAGATCAATTCAGATTTACATCAGTGATAGCTGCTGTAGTCATCTCTTTTCTTCGAGCCCTTCCTTGGCCAGGCAGGTGAACACTCCCTGCTTCTGTTTTGGGATTCCCTCTCTGCCCTGCTCACCCCGCTGGTGCCCTGCCTTGCCGTGCTACCAGCGAGCCTGTTGGCTCATCTTCATTCACCTTTCAAAGCAATGCACATTTTAAACGTTTTCTGGAAAGGCAATTGTGGAGCCCAGCAGGAACTCACATTACTGGAAACCTACACCCTGTGCAAAGAGAGCAGGGTCATGTCGCAGAGAAGATGAGAGGCAGAGATAGTCTGCCAGGGAACAACCAATTTTTTCCCCAAAATGTCAAGTTGCCAAAAAGCAAAGGACCAGATAACTGGAGGATGAAGCTGCATTTTACTTACCCGTCTCAGAAGCAGCTGCTGCTCTCTGAGATGGGTAAATCAGCATGGCAGAGGCATTGGCCGAGGTCAAAGCCAGTTCCCTGGCACGGCAGGGCTGTGCCAGCTGGGCAGTGGTGGCATGGCAAGGGGAATTTGCTGTATCCCATCCAACACCTGATGCTTAGTGTCACTCAGTACTGGAGTTTCCATGCTCCATGCATGGAAAATCTCATGTCCAGGCATCCATTACTGTGAGGGTGGGATGGCAGAGGGACTGACACTGCTGTCTGCTCACCTCCCTCGGAGCTGTCCCTTCCATCTGCGGTTTCGATGCGTGGCGTTCAGCCACATAAGGATGCAACAGGTGCTACCTGATGGCTCCAGGGGATAAAGTTTCAGCTGGTGCCAATTGTATGTTGCTGTGAGATCTATGCACAGTCCTGGCTGGTTTGTTTCCTTGAATCTGAAGGCAGGGGGAGTTTATCAGTAATTAATTAAATAGGATGAGTTTGGGAACACCGTTGTCTTGTTTCTAACATTCGTATTTTAAACTTATATCCACTGGATCCACAGGTTATCCCATTGACTGGAGACATTTCTATTTATTTTTAGTCAGACATTTGCTTAGTATTTTTCTTTTCAATGTGTTCTGCTTGACGCTCCTGTCAAAAGAAGCAAATAAGATTTTCAGTGGAATTAGCTTTATTTAAAATGACTAGTAAGAGTTGAAAACTGACTTTTTAAATCATGTTAAACAGAAAAATGTAACATCTAAATTAAATCAAGCTTAATTTGTGCTTTTACCATTTTTTTTCTTTTTTTTAAAAATTCCAGTATTTTTGTTTATCCTTTTGGGAGAAAGGTGATGCCTGACAGCCTCAGAGGGCCATGACTCCCATGGCAAACAGCACATCCCTCACTTTCATGTTATAAAAGCTTATGTTATATGCACTGCTTCCACCACAAATTAGAGCAAGACACCCTTCTTTGCTCTGTCTTTTAAAACACGTGGCTTTCATTTCACAGACACTAACTCTCCATAGTTTAAATTTACCCAGTTCTGGAAAATAAGGATATTAACAAATTTTTTTCATTTTTCCCTCTTAAAAAAAAAAAAAAAAGAAAAAGAAAGTGAAAATAAATTTGAAACATTAAAAAGTTGCAGTTTTCCTCTAAGAAACTGGTAAAATATTTTCCTTCATTTACTCCAACATTTCTGCCATTAAGAGCCCAAAAACTTCACATCTAACCTTAGAAGACCTCCCTTCCACAGACCCTCCCTGAGACTGGTGGGCAGGAGTGGAGGAGTAGGGGTCTCCTGGTAGGTAGGGACATGGACCAGGGACTCACACTCAGCTTTCAGACCCCAGGTCTTACACCAGAAAGGCCAAGGATCATTTCATCCTGCCTGAGGATTTGTGCCCACACACCAAAGCAAATCTGTTTAAAATGCCCACGACTGCAGTAAGTCCAGTCATTAAAAGGATGTTTGCAATCAAGCCAGCACTCAGCTTCAGCGTGGCTCCTGGAATGTGACAAATTCTCTTTATGAATTAGTCATTTAATTTGTGAAACATAGGTTGGATATTGTCACATACCCACGTGTCCTCCCTAGGCCTGACAACTGTACCCCCACGCATTACTATTCAGTAGATGAAGCCATGCAAACCCTTGGGACTGGGATGCTGCTGGGACGTACAGCCAGACTCAGGATCAGGAGAAAGCTCCAGGTTTCCGGCACTGGAAACCTAAGAATAACCTATTGTTGCTGTCAGCTATTCACTGATGATAACTTGAACAAGAAGAAACAGCACAGGCACCTTTCTCATCAAGTCAGCCCTCCCTTGGCAGCCTCGTAGGTCCACATTGAGGCTGGTGAAATCTGGCAAGTGCAGAACTGCAAGCGAAAACGCAAAGATGGAACAACATAAACTGAACGTGGCATGAAAGCCAGCAGCTCAGCTGCTATTTCACTGGTACTGGTCTGTAACACCAAGCTTAGAAGTGTGGTGGGAAGCAACTGGCTTCTTCCCCCAGAATTGACAGCTGAGGCAGGACCAAGTGAACTGGACACAGCTGTGGGGTGCGCTGGCTCTGAAAGCAGCATGGCTCTTTCTTGGATTCTCAGTGCCTGTGACCAGACACCAGCACCCCTGTCCCCCAGCAGGACACTCCTGTGGCTGGGGCCTCCCCCTCCTCATGAGCCCAGGGGCTGGGATCTGTTTCTCTAAATCTCAGGTGTTTCTGTCCATCCTGGTTTTGGTTACTGTGGCCCAGGGCTGTGGTGTGGAGGTGCTGGGGTGGCATCCCTTGGCAGGGTGGGAGCTAACCCCACTCCTGTGAAGGGTCTGCAGAGGGGGAAGAGCAAGTCTTGGTGCTTTTTTCATTATGAAATCCTTGAGGTACCACAGGGATCAACAGTCACTCCCACAGTGCTGAAACAAATTCTGCTCCAGTAGGAACATGAAAAAAAAATAGAAGATGGGTTTTGAGATGCTAAATGCCAGGAAAACTTGGTGCTTAAAGCACCAAGCAACCAGAAAACATGAGCAAAAGCAAAGCAGCCTTTTGACTCCTGCTGGCCTCAGCACCTTCTTTCTAGCCCGAGGTCTCTCTTTGGACCACACCCTCAGCTGCCTTTAGTGACCCTTTAGTGCAGGGACACATCTGAGATTTAAGCTGTGCCCTCAAGCATAACTGAGGAGACACATCTGAATTCCCTAGTTCACACAGAGGCTAAGGTGCTGCTGCCTATTTATAGCCAGATGGGTTAAATAAAGTGCCTTATTCATCCCTGAGGTTTTAAACAAATTCCAGAGAGGACAAAGGGCCTTATGTCTTTTTCCCCACCCATTTTTTTTGGGCCCAGTTTGTACATGCAGAGCTAAAACTTGTTCCAAGATTGATTCAAAATAAAACTAGAGAATTATTTGCTGGCTCAGCATGAACCACTGTCCTGCTAAAAATCATCTGTATGGTCTTCATATACATTTTGTGAAAAAGAAGCTATTAAAAACCATAAATTTTGGGGTGTGGATACAAACTCTGCTTTGAAGATCCACTGATAGTAATCCTTTCCAATTGCTGCCATAGCTTAAATTTCACTGCAGCTGAGGGATGAGTTTGGGTGTCAAGGGGAAGAAAGATGGAATAAAATGAGGATATTTTAAACCCCTGCTTTATAGAAATGCTCAGTAATTTATTGAAATAAACAGAACAAGAGATAGTGCTTAACATGCTAAGCTGCTGTTCCAAGCAAGGACAGCCCACTGAGTCTGTTCACTTTTTATTGCATTCTCCTAAGATTTTTGGGCTTCTAACAGTGATTTGTGCCCTGGTCACATGCAGAGCCTCAGTGTGTTTGGGCAGGAGTGCTGCCACCCAACAAACTACATTGCTTAGGTGTTTGCATCTCATTCCAACAAATAGGAAAGAACTGATCCAGTTCACAAATAACCCATCATTACCTTGTTTTCACAAGAGGTGATTTTGTCACAACCTGGCATCTGGCTTGGGTGGTGATAAGCACTAATGTATCCAAGCCAAAGCTTCCCATCCAAATGATTTGTCTTTAAATTCTTTAGGGGTAGCAACTGCTTTTTGGGTTTTTTGTACTGGAGATGCCTTAGGAGCACAGTGCATTTGACAGTGGGTTCTGCTCTGCCAGCACAAGGGTTGGGGAGAAATCAACAGGAGTTACTGGCAATGTTTCACCTTCAGAGATGAACCTGGTCCATACCCTGCCTGAGGCTCGAGCTTTGGGGTGATTTTTGCGTATTTCCCCTCTCCCCCCTGCCAACAGCCCTGCTCCCCTCAACAGCCATGTGAGGAACACAGCTGTGTGGGTGAGCTGGCTCTGGCAAAAACAAAACCAACAGGGTTTTGCTGCATTCACCACTGCAGGTGCCCAGGGCCAAACCAAGAGTGGGCTGAGACAAGAGGAGGCAGGTGAAACAGCCCAAGAACTGCAGCACACCTTTGCCCAAAAGAAAAGTAACAGCAACAGCTCCCAGTCTCTCCAGTTGTCTCTTCTGGTTACCCTTGAGTTGCCAGAAAAACTATGGACAAATTAACCAATTTGTTCTTTTGTTGCTTTCTTTTTAATTATTCTCCTTTCTGTACAGAAAATCTCCCATGTATTTATTTGAAGACATAGAGTGTTTCTGCCATGCAGAACTCTGCCAAGAGCTGTGCTTGTTGTTCCAGATTTGCAATAAAAATGTTGTGCAATGACCTAGATACATAGAGTACAGCACTTAAGTGGGGATTTGGCTAAATCCGGCATGTATATCTAATCAGAAAACATCTACAGGCTTGGGAAAACACCATGATGGGATCTTACAGAGTCTTAATGCATAGGTGGTTGTAGGTTACATGAGAAGAGACAGGCAATGCTGTGTTAATGCTGGGAACTCTCTCTTGTCTTGTTCTGCAACATCTGGTGGCCAAAGGAGAGCAA